CTGGGTTCAGTGGTTTATGCCTGTAATCTCAGTGTTTTGGGAGGCTGAGGCAGGAGGATTATTTGAGATCAGGCCTTTGAGACCAGCCTGGGCCTATCTACAAAAAAAAAAAAAAAAAAAAATTAGTTGGGCATGGTGGTGCATACCTGAGGTCCTGAGTATGGCTACTCAGGAGGCTGAGGCAGAAGGATGGCTTGAGCCCAGGAGTTCCAGACTGCAGCGAGTTATGATAGCACCACTGCACTCAAGCCTAGGTAACAGAGTGAGACTGTTTTTATTTTTAATTTCCCTTGAGTTGGTCAGATTCCGTCTCTTAAGGGAAAAAAAGACAAAACAAACAAACAAAAAACCACAAAGTTGAAATTAAGGCACCAGCTAGTTTGTGTTCTTTTCTGGAGCCTCTTGGGAAGAATACACTTTCAACTTCATTCAGTTTATCGACTGAATCTAGATCTTTGAAACTGTAAGAATGAAGTCCCTGTTTCTTTGCTGACTAGCTGCTAGGACTCTCTCAGCTCCTAGAAGTCACTCTCAGGTTTTTGCCTCTGGCTCCTTTCATCTTCAAAGCCAGCAGGGGAATTACTTTTTTTCTTTTTTTTTTTGAGACAGTGTTTCACCATGTTGGCCAGGTTGGTCTTGATCTCCTGACCTTGTGGTCTGCCTGCGTCAGCCTCCCAAAGTGCTGGGATTACAGGCGTGAGCCAACACACCTGACCTGGGAATTACTTTTACATCAAATCTCTTGCACACTTTGCCTCTCTTTGTATTCCTGTCTCTGACCATTCCAGCCTTATTGAAAGGGCTCATGTGATTAGATTAGACCCACCTGGATAATCTCCTTATCTTAAGGTCAACTAGTTTGGAACTGTAATTATTCCATTCTTTTTTTTTTTGAGACAGAGTTTCACTCTTGTTACCCAGGCTGGAGTGCAATAGCACGATATCGGCTCACCACAACCTCCACCTCCTGGGTTCAGGCAATTCTCCTGCCTCAGCCTCCTGAGTAGCTGGGATTACAGGCATGTGCCACCATGCCCAGCTAATTTTTTTGTATTTTTAGTAGAGACGGGGTTTCACCATGTTGACCAGGATGGTCTCGATCTCTTGACCTCGTGATCCACCCACCGCGGCCGCCCAAAGTGCTGGGATCACAGGCTTGAGCCACCGTCCCCGGCAATTATTCCATTCTTGAACTGCTATAAAGAAATACCTGAGACTGGGTAATTTACAAGGAAAAGAGGTTTAATGGACTCACAGATCCACAGGCTGTACGGGAAGCATAGTGGCTTCTGTTTCTGGGGAGGCCTCAGGAAACTTATAATCATGGTGGAAGGCAAAGGGGGAGTGAGTCACTTCACATGGTAGGAGCAGGAGGAAGTGGGAGGAGGTGCCACACACAATCAGATCTATGAGAACTCACTATCATGACAACAGCTCCAAGGGGGATGGTGTTAAGCCATGAGAAACTACCCCCATGATTTAATTACCTCCCACGAAGCCCCACCTCCAGCACTGGGGATTATATTTTAACATGAGATTTGGGTGGGGACACAGATCCAACAGTATGTCCTGCAAAATTCTTCACAGTAATGCCTCAACTAGCATTTTTTCTTTTCTTTCTTTTTATTTTTTTTGATCAAATATTTGGATGTTACACCAGGGAATCAGAATCTTACGGACCATGTTAGTATTCTCAACACAAGGTCACATCAGAAAGACACAACAATCAATACATATGAATTGCTAGAGTATTATTGTTTAGGTCCATGGACTCAAGAGATTCCAATAGCTAAACTTCTTTAAAAGTGACCTTATTAGCTGGGCATGGTGGCTCATACCTGTAATCCCAGCTACTTGGGAGGCTGAGGTAGGAGAATTGCTTGAACCGAGACCTGGGAGGTGGAGGTTGCAGTGAGCCGAGATTGAGCCACTGCACTCCAGCCTGGGCTACAGAGCGAGATTCCATCTCACAAAAAAAAAAAAAAAAAAAAAAAAAGTGACCTTAATAAGAATGTTTGCCTCAGTTCACTTCAGGTATTGCCAGACATAACTAATAGTTATCTGTCATCATATATCTGTCAGAGATGTAGCAAAACCATACATTCCAAGTACTATAGAGAAGAAAAGGGGGCCTGAAATGTTATTTAGTGTCCACTATGAGTTCCCTACAGCCATGTCATTCCATCTCCATTCTGCTCCTGAAATGGTAACAGTGTCCCCATTTTCTGAGAATTCCAAGGCTCAAATTGTTTAGTAAATGATGGTGTTGCACAGCCAACACCGATTTCCAGCCATGAAACATGTAAACACTGAAGTCTCAATGTTAACCAGTATTCACATAATATATAATAAAATATACTGAAAACAGAGGCAAGGAGAAACAAGAGTCAACTTGAAGGGCCTCCTACAGCTAAATCTGGGATCTGTGTCACAAAATGATAGCAACGGATAACTCAGAATAAATTATTGCACATTAGTCTATATTGATATCAATAAATACCCGAAGAAAGAAATGGGGTAAAAGGAAAGTTCTTGCTTTATGGCAGGGGTCCCCAGTCCCTGGGCCACAGACCACCACAAGTCCATGGCCTGTTAGGAACTGGGTTGCACAGCAGGAGGTGAGTAGTGGACAAGTGAGCAAAGCTTCATCTGTATTTACAGCTGCTCTCCATCATTTCCATTATCCCTGAGCTCTGCTTCAGCTCAGGCCATAGATTTAGATTAGCAGCAGCATTACATTCTCATAGGATTGCAAACCCTATTGTGAACTGTGCATGCAAGGGATCTAGGTTGCAGGCTCCTTATGAAAATCTAATACCTGATGATCTGCCACTGTCTTCCATCACCCCAAAACAGGACCATCTAGTTAGAGGAAAACAAGCTCAGGGCTCCCAATGATTCTATGTTATAGCAAGCTGTATGTTTCATTATATATTACAATATAATAATAATAAAGGGCACAATAAATATAACACATTTGAATCATACCAAAACCATCCCCCACCCCCAGGTCTCTGGAAAAATTGTCTTCCATAAAATTGGTCTCTGGTGTCAGAAAGGTTGTGGACCACTGCTTTACAGAATTGCAATTAATGTAGAAGGCATGATAAAAATAGAAAATTTTTCCTGATTCTCTCCCTTCTCCGACCCTCCACCCTTCAATAAGCCTCTGTGTGTTGTTCCCCTCTGTATCCATGTGTTCTCATCATTTAGCTCCCACTTATAAATAAGAACATGTGGTGTTTGGTTTTCTATTCCTGTATTAGTTTGTTAATAGCCTCCAGCTCCTAGTTACTAGGCTTAATACCTGGGTGATGAAATATTCTATACAACAAACCTCTATGACACATTTACCTATGTAACAAAACTGTACATCCTGCACATGTATCCCTGAAAAGTCAAAAATTTTTATCACCAAGCAAGAATAGTATCTTTCTATACTCCTATAGACAAGGATATTACAAAATTATCACCCTATGGAAAGATTTGAGAGTAATCAGCCAAAAGAGGTAAGAAGAGAAAGCATTATAGAGATCTATCAGGTAGTTAAATACCTTTTAAGTAAGTTATTTTTCCTTCCCGCCCCCCGAGACAGAGTCTTGCTGTGTCACCCAGGCTGGGGTGCAGTAACTATCTTGGCTCACTACAACCTCTACCTCCCAGGTTCAAGCAATTCTTCTGCCTCATCATCCTGAGTAGCTAGGGTTACACAGGTGCCTGCCACCACACCGGCTAATTTTTATATTTTTAGTAGAGACGAGGTTTTACCATGTTGGTCAGGCTGGTCTCGAACTCCTGACCTTGTGATCTGCCCACCTCAGCCTCCCACAGTGCTGGGATTACAGGCATGAGCTAACGTGCCTGGCCAAGTAAGCTATTTATCTAAATGGAAAAAAAGAAAAAAGAAAAAAGAAAATTACCATTTGACATATGCCAGGGCAGTAAGGCAAGACTCATCAATCCTAAAATTTGTGGGCAGAGTGTAAGAAATGGAATATTTACTTTCTCAAAGTATTTTCCCAGGAGATAATAATTAATTACAAAAGGGAAAACAGTAGCTTTACAAGAGATATCTGGTAGACACTATCTTAACCAAGTAATCAATGTTATGCTTACTGATGAGACAAGCTGACATTCTTGCCTGTTGACATGATGCACCGATGTATCAACATCACTTACATAGAGTTCTTACCAAGAAGGCATATTGTTAAGGAATATCAGATGAACCAAAATCAAGGGCCATCCTATGAAATACCTGAGCAGTGCTCTTCAAAAAGTACCCAGATCATGAAAAGTAAAAAAGTTCTGAATTTTTTTAAAGACAACTAAGATATTATAACTAAATATAACATGTGAACCTGAATTGCATGCTGGGCTAGAAAAAGAATGGAACAATGGTAAAAGTTGAATAAAATCCATAGATTCTATAACTTTAGGTTTTTTACATATATCCATTCTATGTCCTCATAATAGCATAAGAGAATTTTATCAATGTTAATTTTTCATAATTGTACTGTGGTAATTTATGATGTTACATTAGGGAATTGGGGTGAAAGGTTATAAAACTTAAAAGCCTACATTTTACCTCAATTTACCCGCAATGAAATTTTGCTGTTACTTCAAGTTTACTTAGTAAACAACTTCCTCAAAGGATGGAATTATTTTAATTCTTTCTCTCTTCTATATACAGATTGCCCCTAACTTGATGGTTTGACAGGATTTTTTTTGGCTTTACCTAAGTGTGAAAGCAATACAAATTCAGTGCTAACCATGGGGTTTATGTCCTGATAAAACCATCATAAGTTGAAAATATCATAAGCTGAAAGCTTCAATTCCAATTTCTATCCTGAAACTTCTAGAGGCAGTTAAAAACTTTAATTATAGAAAGCATGTTTATTCTAATGATTTTTTTTTAAACCTACCTTAAGGTTATCAGAATTAAACAAGACGATGCAAGTACTTATAACATTGTTTGACAATAAACAGTCTCTCTGAGGTAGATACTATTTATTATTTCTCATTTTACAGGTGAGAAATCTGAAGATTGGAGATGAAAAATAAATGGCTTAAAGTTACATAGGTAGGAAGTGGCAGTATAAGACTTTGAACCATGTCTGACCACAATGCTGTACAGTTTGTCTTCTGTTCTAAAGCATTTTTATTAATGTCAACCCATTCTTCAATATACACAAAAAAATCAAGTTTTTCTCTTTCCCTCTCACTGGCATTTACCATTTTTCTTGAATTTTGGATCTAATGCAATCAACAACAAAAAACACAAAGAACCAGTTATTCAATTACAAAGCCAACATTCTAGATGCAGTACAAAAGTTAATTAACTAAATCACTGATACTCGTATAACTCAAACACAAATTGCAATTACTTTATTTCTTTAACAATGAAATAGTAATAGCAACACAATCATTCAGTTGTGACAAAGCCACCAACAGAGGAAAACAAAAACAAAGCTAATTAAGAAGCACTGCTTCAGCTCAAATTAGTCATCTCCTTTAAACAGGAAAAATAACCATTAGTCTAGTGGTTCTCAACCCTGTCTGCACATTAGAGGGATGGGGGAAAGAAGACTGGTGCTTAAAAAAATAGTTATATCCAAGACCCACCTCAGAGCTATTAACTGAGAATCTCTGAAGAGTGAGGCTCAGGCAAAGATTTTTAAAGTGCTGTCAGTGTTGAGAACTATAGGTCTAAAGTAATAAGGAATAAAACCATGCCTTGAAACAATTCAAAACCAAGAAGCTAATCATATAATACATTTCTTTCCTCTAATCCTGGGAAAAGAGAGGGAAGCAGGCATCGACTCAGTTTTCATTGTTCTTTATCAATCTTCGGTTGCCCATAGCAGAGCTTAACATACATCAAATATTGGAAGTTATGCAAACATGCTACCCAAGCTGAAATTCTCACTACTTAACATTTAGAAAGCTCTTTTAAAATAGCTTTTAAAACAATCCCCCATCTTAAGTTTGCATAGATGTTCAAGTCAGCTATTTGTTCAACTAATAGAGTCAATAGAATGTATTAGAAAGTACTTTATTAACAAGTTATTATAAAACAATATTCATTTTATGTACTACAAATAAACTTTTTGGTGCAGATAGGAGGAATATTAGAGTGTTTCCCACCTATTTCTAAAACTGCTAGAATTTATTTTCATCAGTACCTTCAATTCTAACATTTAAACAAAGCTTTTTTCTCTAAGAATGCATACATAAAATACTTCCCCTACAACTATACTCTATCCTTGACAAATCCTTATTAAGAGGTTCAGTAGTAACTGTAGGTATTTATTGTCAGAACAGTCTTTCTTTATTTCTCAGGTTTGGAAATATAACTTCAAGTATGGAAAATAACTTTTCCCTTAAGAATACATGAATTAATTTAGAGACATCTCCTCAAATCAACCAATCCTACTGCTTCAGCTCCTTACGTCAGGACTCCATGTCAACCTCAGACCCTTCATTCTTGCCCTGAAGTGTTCCTTCTGTCAGGGTGTCTTCAATTAAATCTTCAATGTCTGCCAGATCAATAGGTGGCAAAGGATTCCTCCAGTACTGGAAGGTATTATACTGCCAAAATTCTTCACTGTGCTTTAGAAAAAAAAAAAAAAAAAGAGAGATGAGAGTAGCTTAGAAAAAATTCTTTTTCCAGAAAATAAATGTTTGAAAAGCAAACTCATATAAGATTTTGTATCTTCTATTTTGTATTTTTAACAAATACACATTTAAAATTTTATCTCATCTAAGTACTTAATGTACTCAATCAAATCTGCGCATTTTAATAGTTATGATTTGTGAAAGTATTTAAATTTAAAGGAATTTTCCACAATTTTCTCCCATTTTTCACTGAAAGAAAATCATATAAAAACAGTCTTAAAATTTTTTATCTTTTAGTGAGGAAAATAAAAATTTATTTTATTTATTTATTTATTTATTTATTTATTTTGAGACGGAGTTTAGCTCTCGTTACCCAGGCTGGAGTGCAATGGCACGATCTCGGCTCACCGCAACCTCCGCCTCCTGGGTTCAGGCAATTCTTCTACCTCAGCCTCCTGAGTAGCTGGGATTACAGGCATGCGCCACAATGCCCAGCTAATTTTTTGTATTTTTAGTAGAGACGGGGTTTCACCATGTTGACCAGGATGGTCTCGATCTCTTGACCTCATGATCCACCCACCTCGGCCTCCCAAAGTGCTGGGATTACAGGCTTGAGCCACCGCGCCCAGCTAAAAATTTATTTTAAAAATACAAACACATGCCGGGCGTGGTGGCTCACGCCTGTAATCCTAGCACTTTGGGAGGCCGAGGTGGGTGGATCGCCTGAGGTCAGGAGTTTAAAACCAGCCTGGCCATCATGGTGAAATCCCATCTTTGTAAAAAAATAAAAAATTAAAATTAAAAAAAAAATACAAACACAAACACTCCTTATAATTTACTTTTGGTCTTGTTCTTAAGGTTCAGTGTTTTAACAGGTTTACTTTACATAGGCCAAAATGTTGAAACCTTTTAAAAGTATTAGGCTATAAACAAGATGAATAGCAAGAAAATCTTAAACTGATCACCATTTTATTAAAGATTTTTTTTTTTTAAAAATCAATGCTCAATAGCCACGTGATCTAGTGGCTACTGTTCTGGACACACAGGTCTGTAAGAAAGTCTCATCAGGAAGTTCATTGTCTTCCATGCTGAGCCTTAAAGAATTAAGTTTTGGGGGAATTTTTAATATTGGAATAAACAGGTAATAAGTCAAAGAAAAATTTCACTTTAATAAGAAAATGTGGTTAAAAACAAGGTTCTAGTTCTCTGCCTTTTGAAAAATCTACTGTACAAATTATCCACTTATAAATATAGACCAAAAAAAGGTCTTTTAATTATGTTAGTAAAACCTAGTGACTAAGGGCACAAACTTTGCCACCAGACAGAGCTGGCTTTGCAAGATAACTCCACCACCCACTAACTCTGATCTTGACTCCATCGATAAAATGGAGAACTGTTTTAAAAATTAAGGCTTATCATAGTAATTGCTAATATTGCTAGGTATTATAACCCAATGAGCCTATGAATCATTAATCACTGTCTCCTTAGTGGAACACTTCTGCTTACTTTCCGTTAAGAATATCTAACAGTGGCTGGGCATGATTACATCTGTAATCCCAGCACTTTGGAAGGCAGAAGGATTGCTTGAGCCCCCGAGTTTGAGACCAGCCCTAGCAACATAGCAAGACTCTGTCTCAATTTATTAAATAAAATAAACAAAAACTAACAGTAAGAGTCAACACTGACAGCAATGAATCTGTATAGTGACACTAACATGAAAAAAATACATGAAGCTGGTCGTGGTGGCTCATGCTTGTAATCCCAGCACTTTGGGAAGCCGAGGTAGGTGGATCACCTGAGGTCAGGAGTTTGTGACCAGCCTGACCAATATGGTGAAACCTCATCTCTATTTCAAAAGAAAAAAATACATGAACATTTAATGAATACCTGATTTTATTTCTCTAGTCAAAAAACATCTGAAACAACTTAGGAAATACTCTGAAATTCCAGGATAGAAATGATGTAACATTATTCTGCCTAGATTGCATCCTCAATGGAGAAAAAAGGTATTTGAGGTAGTATTTCCTAAATCAGGTCCCAAGGGTGAGGGCTGGGACTTAAGCACTATTCTGGGCACAAAAGAAACCAGGCATTTACTATATTGCACTGTTTACTTCTCTGTTGTTGTTATATTCAATTTTCCCTTGGTAATCTGGTATAAAACCCTTAAAATAAAAAGCCTATGTCTTTGGAGGCAGAAAGGAAAAACGGAAGCTGGAAAGAGCATGTTTGCCAAAGAGAAGTGGCTCCAGAACAAATCTAACAAAAAGAACAAACAGGAGTGTTACTGGGCTTTCCTCAAAAGAAAAGGGGGCCTGATGGTGGCTCATGCCTGTAATCCCAGCAATCTGGTAGGCAGAAGCGGGAAGATCCCTTGAGCCCAGCCTGGGTAACATGGTGAAACTCCATCCTTACAGATAAAAAACAAAAAACAAACAGTCCAGCGTAGTAGTGTGTGCCTGTAGTCCCAACTACTCAGGAGGCTAAGGCTGCAGTGACCCAAGATCATGTCACAGCATATGGGCACAGGAGCACTGGGCACAGGAGCAAAACTCCAGCCTGGGCATAGGAGCAAAACCCCTCAAGACTCTTTAAAATACAAAACAAAACAAGAGACAGGGGGACTAGCCGTGGTGAAGAAGGAACCCCTGGAGCCAACCTTTTTCTGTGTCATGTCCTTGCAGCGACTATAGGAAGTAAAGAGCTACCATATCTAGTCACTGCTATGGGAGAAGAGACAGTTGAGTCTAAGACTCTAAGCAAGCATCATCGTGTCAGACTACTAGAGAACTCTCACTCTTTGCCTACTGTCATTTCCATATTTCCCTCTTATCAACTGTGTGGCATACCGTAGTCAGTGAATTCTGGTAGGAAAGACAAGCCTATGCATGGGTGGAGTGCTAAAAACGCTCTGAGAGCTTTCAAAAAGTTTTCAAACTACACAGTTCCTAATCTCCATATCCAATAGGTTTAGAAGACTATCCATTTTCAGTTGATTTTAAATATCTTAGAGCAATCTGAAGAAAAAGTTTAAATAAGGCTCATGTTTCAATCATAGGCCAAAAAAAAAAAAAAAAAAATCTTTCTCAACTATAAAACTCTCATTGTTTTATTGGATTTTTCACAAGAACAAGTCATGTCTAAGAACTTTCATGTATTATTGTTTTTGGAAAGGCATTTGAAAACTCTGACATAAGATACTTAAGAACATTTTAAAAAACAAACAAAAAACCAAAAAACGTTGGGTGGATGCTATCCGATAGTAGCTGAAGAGAATTTGGGGAATTCTGAGAAACCTGTACTTGGTTCTTCGTCTCCCAAGTCCCCTGGTAAGTCATTCCAGGACTGTGAAAAACCAGTATGAATTCCTAAGTCTAGACCAAAGCTGTCCAATAAATATACAACGCTCCAAAAACATAATTTAAAATTTAAAACGTAAAAGAAACTTCTGGTATTAATTTTAATATATTTTCTTCAATATATCCAAGTTATTTCATGTGTAATCTATTTAAAATTTTGAGCTATTTTATCTTCCTGTATTTCTTATTAAATCCACGAGATTCCGTGTATATTTTATACTTAGAGCAAATTTCCATTTGAACTAGTCACGTTTCAAGTGTTCTTACTGGCTAAAGGCTGGGCAGTAGAGAGCTACACAAATCGAGGCATGCCTAGATCTTCTCGGGATTCTTAGGTGCAGAGATGAGGCAGGTTCATTTCTTGAATAGGAACCCCCCAATGATTCTCACATACACCTTACCTTAAGGCCCAAATTAATTTTCTTTTTTTTGAGAGAGTCTCACTCTGTTGCCCAGGCTGGAGTGCAGTGGCCCCATCTCAGCTCATTGCAACCTCCGCCTCCCACGTTAAAGCGATTATCATGCCTCAGCCTCCGGAGTAGCTGCGATTATAATCGCATCATGCACCACCACACCTAGGTCATTTTGTATTTTTAGTAGACTGGGGTTTCACTCTGTTGGCTAGGCTGGTCTCGAACTCCCAACCTCAGGTGATCCGCCCACCGTGGCCTCCCCAAAGTGCTGGGATTACAGGCGTGAGACACCATGCCTCGCCCCCAAATTAGTTTTCAACAATACTTTTGCCTAGGAACTGATAACACTATGAGTTAAAAAAAAGCTTTGCCCAAGTTACGGCGGTCCATTTTGTCCAGAAGAGCTGTACCAGCCTGCAGGACGTCCTATTAATCGACGGCTACCACACTCCTCTCCCTCCAGAAAAAGAATTCTATCCCGAATTCTAGACTAATCATCGTTAAACCCACGAAGGCCCGCTACTCCTTTGACTGTCGTTTGTCGTCAGCGTCCTCACCAAGCTCCCAGCCTGCCACGACCCACGGTCCCGCTTCCCTCTTACAGAGCGCGGCGCTGACGCCGCAAGGCCACTTGACTGCTCCCGACCACGGTCCGTTTCCCGCCAGAGCAGCCCAGTGCTTTCTGCCCCTCGGAATCCCGGGGCGCGTCTCCTGGGGGTCGCTGTCCTCTCCCGGAGCGGTAACCTTTTCTTTTCGCCTCTGCAGGCGTCTTAACCGATACAAGTCATGAGTGGGACCCGGGGCGCTTTGAGTGTGGGGGAGAAAAGGCGAGCCCCTTAGCCCCTCAGCCCACCTGCCCCCAGCCCCTACCTGGCGCGGTGCGACCCCCCAGTCTCCCCGCGGGGGCCCTGCGCGCCCCGCCCCGTCGTCGCCACCGCCCCTCGGGGGCCGGGCGCCCTGGAGCTCCTCCCCTAGCCCCCGCCGTATAGGCGGCGGCGGCGGCGGCAGCGGCGGCTCGCCGGTCTCCAGGCCTCGGTCCTCTTGCTCCTGGCCGCCCGGGGCGCTGTTGTCCCCGCTGTCGCGGCGCTTGCTGGGCGATGCGGAGGGCTCTGCCATGGTCCCTGCGTCGATTTTGCGCTTTCGGTGCTGTTCCGGTACGCTGAGGGGCTGCCCGGGATGCGTGGCCCCGGGCGGCCGGATCCAGAGAGGCGGTGGCGGCGGCTGCTCAGGGAAGTCGCAGAGCAGGAGCCGCTTCCAAGGCACGTGGAACGTCACCGGCTCGGCCGCACGCCGCTTGGCCATGGGCCCAGAGGCTCGGGCGGAGCCGGCCGGGCGCGGGACACCGATCGCCGATAGCTGTGGGGGCGAAGAGCGAGGACTGAGCGCGTGTGGGAGGGAAAGGCCGAAGTCGGGCGAGGAGGCGACAGGACGCTGGAGGGGGCGGGGCAGCTCGTGCTCCGGCTAGGGTTGGGGCTCCGGCCGGGAGGCAGCTCGCGCGCGCAGCCCTTGCAGCCGCAGAGATACTGCCCGGACGTTGAGAAGCAACCGCGAAGCGGCGGAGATTCGAACCTGCGCACAACGTGCGCGCGCGCACTCTTTCCCGCCAGGCGGAGCCGCTGGTTGGTGGAGGCTCGCGGGGCGCGCTCCCGAGCGCCCTCGCGACCGGAAGTGCGCGCCCGGAGGTAGGCGGGAAGGAGGCGGCGGGCTTAAAGACCCGCTCTGGTGGCCCGCAGTGGGGCGTGACCTTGTTTCCTCCGGGGCGTGGCGGTGGTCTTACTACTACGTTCGGCTTAGCGCGGTACGTTCTAAACCCTTCTGTAGGAAATTTAAGCCCTTTAAAATGTGTATTTCCCTACTCCAGTCAGTGAGGACGGGGGTGCGTCTCCATGAGATTAAGACAAACATAATAGAGTTCCAGACTATTCTGGGCAACACAGCAAGACCTCGTCTCTACGCAAAAATTAGGGCAGGCCTGGTGGCCTGCCCCCGTGGTCCCAACTACTTGGGAGGCTGAGGAGGAAGATTCAGTTGAGCGCGGGAGGGGGAGGCTGCAGTGAGCAAGAATAGCACCACTACACTCCAACCTGGGCGACGGAGCGAGATTCCGTCCCCAAAAAAGAAAGGAATACAAATTCTCAATAAACTGTGTTTAAAAGGCTTTACGATAGGTTATCATTCAAATGACTGAAGAGGAGTCCAGGCTAAGTAGCAAAAGCTAACATAAAACACGCACACGCACACATCGAAGTGTGTGTTTTGCGCAGCTGCTGCGGAAGGTGAAGCAGGCACCACGTTCCTGGAAGATCTCGTGATTAAAAATGTACGGAGGAAGTTACGGACAAGATGTGCGGCTCCTCCAAAATAGCTGGTAGTTGGCAAGAGCCAAGCCTGAAGCACAGCTCCTGTCCGCTGCAGCTGAAACCTAAAATTGTTGGGCTCTTAAATTAGGTTGGAAGCTTGAGTTCCCTGCTTACTCTGGGCGGTGGTCTGATCAAGATTCCAAGACCATTACAGAAAAATAGTGTTATCAGGTGAAGTGAGGTGGAGACAACCGCAGTATATTTACTATTTTATTATTATTATTTTTGAGACAGTATCTGTCTTGGTAACTGAGGCAGGAGTGCAGTGGTGCCATCATGGCCCACTGCAGCCTGCTCCCACTGGGCTCAAGCGATCCTCCTGCCTGGGCCTCCCAAAGTGCTTCGTTTACAGGTGTGAGCCACCGCACCTGGCCGTATTTACTATTTTAATAGTTTGATAAAGACAGTCACCAAGTAAGCAAAAGTGGTAGGCAGAAAATAAGTCTATTATCAGTGCTTTGAAGGGAGAAACTACTAGAATAGAATTATCTTCCTTGCACACTTTTTCTACAGAGGATGAAAAAAAAAGCAACAGCTTGTGCCACCACACCCTGCTAATTTTTTATTTTAGTAGAGACAAGTTCTCACTATGTTGCTCAGGCTTGTTTTGCTTTTTTTTTTTTCATCCTTTGTAGAAAAAGTGTGCAAGGAAGATAATTCTATTCTAGTGCTAGGTACTAACTCACTACTAATTACTCTGTGCCCCTGTACCTCAAGGTGGTTGTGAGAGGATATGTTGATTATTTAGTTATTAACAAGCACAGAAATCTACCAGATTAGGGGAGTAAGCAGTAGCTTTTCTGTTTGATCTTTACTTTTCTTGTTTGAGACTGGTAACAGGCTGGGTGTGGTGGCTCACACCTGTAATCGCAACACTTTGGTAAGTCGAGGTGGGCAGATCATCTGAGTCCCGGAGTTCCATACCAGCCTGGCCAGCATGGTGAAACCCTGTCTCTACAAAAAAATATAACAATTAGCCAGAGGTGGTGCCTTGTACCTGTAGTCCCTGGGAGGCTGAAGTGGGAGGTGCCACTGTACTCCAGCCTGGGTGACAAGTGTGAGACCCTGTCTCTGTGAAAAAAATAAATTGAAAACCCATCTGTCTCAAACAGAGGAAGAGTTTTGCCATTTTTAAATCAGCAGGAAAGATCTTAATCGTAGCCATCAGTTGCTGTTGAAAGGGTGTGAGAGGGCCTGTCTCAAAATAATCAGTGTGGTTTAGCTAATGGTTGATTCTTTTGTGTTCCTCTTTACAGACTCATTTTTTCAAAATTGTGAAATTTATCATATATGCGAAAGGTTGTATAAGATACACATATAGTTAAAAGAATGATAGTAATACACAACAGCATTCTGTTTCAGAAATAGAATACTGCCTGTACTAGAACATGACAAGCTCCCTGTGCACCCCGTCCCCACTGCCACATATCCTTCCCTTTCCCTCATTCCCAGTAATTACTGTTTTGAATGTTGAGTTAATCATTTCTTTGCTTTTTAACTTCTCCATCTGTATGCATATTGCTAAATAACTTTTTTTTTTTTTTTAAGTCGGAGTCTTGCTCTGTTTCCCCAGCAGGCTAGCAGTGATGCAATTACAGTTCACTGCAGCCCTGACCTCCTAGAGTCAAGTAATCCTCCCACCTCAGCCTCCTGAGTAGCTGAGGCTACAGGTTTACACCATCACACCCAGCTAATTTTTAAAATTTTTTTGTAGAGCCAAGGTTTTGCCAGGTCACCCAGGCTAGTCTCAAAGTCCTGAACTCAATCAATCCTCCTGCCCTGGCCTCCCAGAGTGTTGGGATTACAGGCATGAGCCACCATGCCCAGCTTAATACATTTTTTGAATCAGGGTCTTGCTCTGTCGCCCAGGCTGGAATGTAGTGGCGTGATCACTGCTTACTGCAGCTTCGGCTTCCTGGCCTCAAGCAGTCCTCCTGCCTCAGTCTCCCAAGTAGCTGGGCCCACAGCTTGTGCCACCACACCCTGCTAATTTTTTACTTTAGTAGAGACAGGTTCTCACTATGTTGCTCAGGCTTGTTTTGCTTTTTTTTTTTTTTAAACAGCTTTACCTAGGTCTAAATGACATACAATAATTTGCATATAAAATGTACAATTTGATATTCATATACTTGTGAAACCATAATCACAATCAAGACAATCAGTTATGAGAGCAGTCTTTGACATCTTCAGGAGTATGTCAACTATACTTGGCCCTTTGTTCTTCCATAATAGCATCCTCTGTAACATTTTGTTACTCTTTTGAAATTTTGATTATAATTACATTGAAATCATAGGTCCGTTTGGGAAGAATTGTTATCTTTACAATATCAAACTCACTTCCTGTTCAAGAATATAACTCTAAAGTTTTTTTTTAATCTCTGAATAAAGTTTTATATTTCTCACCATAAAGAGCTTATATCTGTTTAGTTTATCCCTAGGCACTTTATAATTTTTGTAGACAATCTTTTTTTCTTTTTAAATAACATTTTCTGAGGTTTTTTTGTTTTTGTTTTTGTTTTGTTTTGTTTTTTGCTGCTCTGGGTTCTTTTTTATAAAGGCCTAGAACTAGAATTTGAAATTAGTTTACCCTAAGTTGTAAATAGTACCAGATCTACTTATTCAAGGAATTTGTCCATTTCATTCATCAAATTTGTTGGAATATTTTCTTAGTTTCTCTTTATCCCATTTCATTGGCTTCTACTAAATTGGGATTTACTTTGCTCTTCTTTCTCTAACTTTTTCTGATAGAACCTAAGGTCATTGATATTTTTGTCTTTGTTAGTTTTTCTTTCTTTCTTTCTTTCTTTTTTTTGAGATTGAGTCTCCCTCTTTTGCCCAGGCTGTAGTGAAGTGGCATGATCTTAGCTGACAGCAGCTTCCGCCTCCCAGGTTCAAGCGATTCTCCTGCCTCAGCCTCCTGAGTAGCTGGGACTACAGGCATGTGCCACTGCACCCGGCTAATTTTTGTATTTTAGTAGAGGTCGCATTTCGCCATGCTAGCCATGTTTGTCTAACTCCTGACTTCAGGTGATCCACCCACCTCAGCCTTCCAAACTGCTGGGATTACAGGCAGGAGCCACCCGCCTGGCCATCTTTGTTAGTTTCTAGCATAAATCTTTAAACCTTTAACTTTCCCTGAGCACTGCTTTGGCTGCATCCTACAAATTTTGGTATGTTGTATTTTCATTATCTTTCAGTTGGAAATACTTTCAAAATTTCTTGTTAACTCTATGTCCTTCCTGTTGTTCTGAATTTCATTTTAAGTTAACTGATTGGCATTTACTTAGCTATACCTCTTTGAATTAATAATGCAATTTCTCTAAGGACTGTTCATATACATCTTTATTTTTTCACCATCTCCTTCAAGCTAACATTGTACCACTTCATGTAAAACAAACACCTTGCACCCCTCCCCCTGTCCTATCCAAATGCATGTTTTATTGACCTAATAGGATCTTCTACCTATTCTACTTTTCCTATAATTTTGTGGATAATGACTTAGAAGTCATTAGTTACAACAAAGCAACAAAGAAGGGAAACTTTTTTCTTCTTAAAAGGATTTCCTTAAAAAAGGAAAACCTAGGCCAGGCTAGGTTTTGAGACTCTGTCTCAAAAAAAAAAAAAAAAAAAAGGAAAACCTACTCACAAACTTATTCTGCTTATCTTTAAAACTTGTATGTTCTAGACTAATTGAAGCCTCACAGCAGTGTAGAGTAGGGACGTAGTTTAAAATTTTTTAATTGCCAGACCTTTTACATATCTCATTTGATCCCAAAAACTTTGGGGCAGATTACTGCCAGCTAAACAGATAAACATCTCTCCTCTGCTCATCAGACCAATGTAACTTCTCAACAGTCTACCTTAACCACCTTATTTACAATTGCAACTCACTCTACGTTTTTCCTGACTCCTAGTTCCCCTCTTTCTTTTCCTCGTAGCATGATTACCTTCTTTTCAGAGTTACCCAGGGTTGTTACCCAGGCTGGAGTGCAATGGTGCAATCTCGGCTCACCGCAACCTCCGCCTCCTGGGTTCAGGCAATTCTCCTGCCTCAGCCTCCTGAGTAGCTGGGATTACAGGCATGCGCCACTATGCCCAGCTAATTTTTTGTATTTTAGTAGAGACGAGGTTTCACCATGTTGACCAGGATGGTCTCGATCTCTTGACCTTATGATCCACCCACCTCGGCCTCCCAAAGTGCTGGGATTACAGGCTTGAGCCACCGTGCCCGGCCTGCATGATTAGTTTCTAATCTATTATATATTTCGCTTACTTATTACTCTTATTGTCTCCCTATCTAGAGAGTAAGCTCCTTGAAGGTAGGGTTCCGGTTTGCTTTTTGGGTTTTGTCCCCACTCACACTTAAAGTGCCTAGCATGTTAGGTGCTAAGTAAATATTTGTTGCACGAATGAGTGTCCATTATTTCCACTTGGGTGT